CCCCTCCCCTCCCCTCCCCTCCCCTTCCCACCTGCCCCAAACACAATGCAGCCGGGTGGTCAATGCAGACACGTTATCTTTGAGGATACTATTATACAAAAAAGGCAAGTCTATGATAAGCGCTAATTGTGTTTGTTTGTGAGGAGGAGGAGGAGGAGGAGGAGGAGGAGGAGGAGGAGGTAGCTGAAGCCTGAAGGTGGATGCTGAACTTGAATGGACGAATCATCAAAGCCATTGCTAAATACAAGCACCCGAACAGAACGCCTGGTGATTATCGCCGTATCTAGAGTGTAGACTGAGAGCATACTCACACTAGGACTTTTGCTACCAAGCTCTGGACGTGATTGCGGTGAGATTCACCCCCGTCTAGCCCTAATTGCAGTCATTATACATGTAAAAACGTCCTACTAAGCTTAAAAAACGCCCTGCAAGGCTGTGAAAGGTGTCCCCGCATATCTTGCTTTTGTGTGCAGCAAAGAGTGAAAGATGACGGCAAGGCTAAAGGCTACTCTTGTCCGCATTCTCCAAGGTGGAGGGAGGACTAACGGCACGACAAACAGAAGAATCCGGCCAAGAAGAACCTTGCCCTTAGCTCTTTCCAGCCCGGCCTCCGGATACGAAGCACCTCATTCTGCCATGCATGCATGCATGCTATGCCTGCTGGCTGTCCCCATCGAGATGGAGGTTTCTTTTGGGGATCTCATGGTCCCACCCATAATGCCTTATCTCATATAGAAAGTGAAAACACCGCTCCTTCCCAACTCCCTCCCTCTCTCTCTCTACTTTCTCTCTCTACTTTCTCTCTCTCTACTTTCTCTCTCTCTCTCTCTCTCTCTCTCTCTCTCTCTCTCTCTCTCTCTCTCTCTCTCTCTCTCTCTCTCTCTTAGGGAAAAAAAAGAAGAGAAAAAAAACAAAGAAAAGAAAAAAGAAGTAAAAAACTAAAGGGAGGGAAAAACAGACCATAATCTCAGAAGCAAGTACAGGATACCCCCAAGTTGGCTGCTTCATGTGCCTCGGGGGAGGTGGCGAGGGGGGCCCAGCCTGTTTGTACGATGCTGTTCACAGTGGGAGATGGGTAGGTAGAACGTTATCTCGGCTCGGCAAAGTCTGCAATCTCTCAGTACAGGACAAATCGTCAAGGGGGCTGAATCGACAGCCCCGGCTCTGCCGCAATCTCACACTTTGTCTGAGACATTTCTTGGATTCACACTGCGACGCCATTCTATGGAGAGCTCGTCCGTTGTAGGAGACCCGGCTTCCGATGGCTAATGGCATACACGTGCGCTTTCACATGGATGGTTTGTATCCGGCATGGGTGGCCTTGTACAGCCTCATTAAGTGCGCCCCATACGTAGTTGGCCCATATCTGCGCAAAAAAGAGAGAGGCCATTGCAACGAGTGTTAGGAACTTAGCAGTGAAAGTACCTCTGTCTAGAATAATGGGGCTCCACTGCACATTACGCTACATTCATCTGGATTCTGGACGCTATCTGGACCAGGTGCATTGGAATGAGTCCAACACTTGGAATGCATGCGATCTAGAAGGCGTCTAAATGCATGTAGAGTGTTGGGTAGTGGAGCGAGGCCCAATACCACTGCATGAAACAATAGCACTGCCTGAGTTACCAACTGACCTTAGGAAGGTCCCTGCAAAAAAAAAAAAAAAAAAAAAAAAAAAAAAGAAAAAAAAAAAAGAAACTAAAAAACTAAAATATGATTTAAAAATCCGGGGAAAAAACGTTGTTGTGCAAAAAAAATAAACTGGAGAACTTTGCCTCTGGAAAATAATAATAATATTATAATAAATTAATAATAATAATAATAATAATAATAATAATAATAATAATGTGCCAATTTATTTATTTTTTTATTTTTTTTTACATTTTTTTTTGAATAAGTAAAGGGGATGGCCTTGAGATATCCTAATTGAATATGACGGCCCTAGGTAATTCAGAAGTATGTTATTTTGTTAATCTGGGTTGGAACTTGGGTCTGTATCTCAACAGTTCATTGGTGTACCAACTGAGCTAAGGCCCCTTGGTAATAAAGTCATTATTGTTTTTTTTTCTTTTTTGGCCCCGCCGGGCAAGACCCCAGGCCACTCTGGTAACCTAGACCGCTGCATGAAGTCCTTCATGAGCTGTGGGTGACCGCAACCGCATAATCACGCGTACACCCATCCTCCTTTGTGGTGTTTTTTTTAACTTTTTTCTGAAGTTTGTTCGTACGAACAACTTCGTGTGTGTGTAACTGAATGGGGGGGAGGTGGTAAAAACAATTTATACCACTTCCCCCTGCGCCCACTTCCCCCATGAGAAAAGAAAACAAAAACAAAAACAAAAACAAAAACAACATCTACCAGGTTCCAACTCTGACTCACTTTGTTGAGCTTTACTCAGCTTTACACTGTGAAAGGACTTGAGAAAGGACTTTGCTGAGTGAGCTTCACACTGCGAAATGACTTGGGATGATTTTGAGAGGGATAGAAGTAGTGGGAGCTTAACAATGACGACAGGGGGGGGAGGAAAGTTTCA